CGGCTCGCAGCGTGGGAGCTCTTAAGTAGGGCCTGTACGCCACAGGGCTCTTTTCCCTGTGCCGGATTTAGGGCTGTAATTATGGCCTTGCGCGACGCCACCGGGCATCCAGCTGTCCCGTGTCTTCGGCCCCCGGGGGCCCCACAGCGACAGGGGACAGCCCGGCCGACAAGACAGACAGAACGGGGGCCCAGAGGATTGTGGGTGGGGGGGGGTACACAACAGACGTTGTTCCAAACGGGACTTTGTTTTTAAATGACCCCTAGTCCTCCCCCCCCCCCCCGAGATGCCGAACGCGGCCCGTCTCCGTGATCCGTGCCTCTGGAACGCGCAATTCCACCGATCCATCCTCCCCCCCTCTTGCTCGGCTGTGCTTCCCCAGTTCCGCTCCTGGGGCGCTGTCTGTGTGGAGTCTGCATGTTCTCCCCCGTGTTTCATGTCAGTTTCAGCCTTCACCGCTCGGTGAACATGCCACCCTTGGATCAATTATGGATTTGCCCAATTATTACGTTAATTAACGTTCTGATTGAAAAGCCCACAGGGGACAATGTGGACACAGTACTGCGTTAACAGAGGTGTTAAACAGAATCTGACCTCTAGTCAGTCTGGCAGTGATATTAATACTTAAATCTAATTAATCTAAAACTGCTTTAAAAATCATGTCCACTTATTATCCAGACTTATTTCCATTTGTGCCCTGTAATATTACTTCCCCAAAGTGAGCCAAGTTAACAATTATTTTTCTTAAGACGCTTACAAGACGTTTCTTTAGGTTTTTTATAGTTGATCGGTGTATCTGTCCCAGCTCTTTTACAATTTCCATAAGGATCCCAGGGCTGCAGCTTGCTCCACACACCTGCCACTCTCTGTGTAATGAAACGCCCCCCCCTCCACCACCACCCAAAGCTGTAGTTTTCCGCCGCCCCCGGCCCGCCCGCCTCCTCACCTCCACACGTCGCTGCCCTTGGAGAAGGTGGACGACTTGATGACCTCGGGGGCCATCCAGGCGTAGGTGCCCGCCGTGCTCATCTTGGTGGTCTTGTGCCACTCGCGGGCCAGCCCGAAGTCCGTGATCTTCAGCGTCTTGCCCTCCATGTACTCGTTCTCGATCGGCTG